TAAATATCTCAATGTTTGGAAAATTTGCTGATTATGAGCCAAAGTATTATTTCCCATTTGCATTTGTCTGTTTTTTGTTATTTAATTATTTTTTGAAAACTCAAAGTTTAAAGACTTTATTAAAACAGTATTAAACTAAATTTGTTTCATTTTTAAGGTATATACTTTTTATAGAGTTCTCACTAAGTATTAAACGTAAGACACCTTTTCTTGTTTTAAAATTATATTTTATAATAAAAGCATTACTTTTAAAGTAAGGAATGGTGTTAATTAAAAATTGAATGATGGCCTCATGTTTTAAAAAACATTTTAAAAATATTATTATTATTAGCAACAGTGTTAATTTCAGCTATCTCTCTCGGAGGGCACTGCCCCCCCCCCCCTCCCACATAATGTGTACAACAATATAACCAAAAAAAAAAGTTTTTAATTAAAAATTACAAAATTGTCATTTTTAAACAGTTTTAAAAAGCATAGTAACAGTGCCTTTAACCTATTACAATGAGTGAAATCAATAAAATATCGCTAGGCTCGATATATTTGATCACCCATATATTTAAGGCTAATCAAGTTATAGTATTTGGTTATCAAAATCGCACTGACCGTTCCAGTCTTACATCCTTTTGTTCATATATATAGCTATTTATTTATTTATTATTATTTTTAAAAAAATTTTTTTTGCAATTTCACAAGTTTAAAGACTTTAATGACACTGTATTAAAATACATTTACATACCTATAGAGGTCTACAATTTTAATAATAGTTATTCACTTATTTAATATGCGCAATATCTGTTTTCAAATTATTGTTCATCGTAAAAGCATGACTAAAATTAGGGATACCGGGGTAGATGTTAATTATAAATTTTATGATGGCATCTTGCTTTTTTTTTCTAATTTAGAATGTAAAGGGCGTATACAAATAGTGCACTTTTCATAAATTATTATAAAATCAAAAGTGTTTTTGTATTCTTTAAATGTGCTAGTTTGTTAAAAAGTTTCCTGAATAACAGATTTTTTTTTAATACTTAGCCTATATTTCTTATTATTAATTTCCAAACTGCTTTTCTCTTTTTAATGTCAGAATAATAAGCAAACTATTGACATTGCACTCATTTTTTTAAAATATTATTTTTGTAAAAATGAGAATCTAGTAGGAAGCTAAGAAAATTTTTTTGTGAACTAGCATTTCGATTATCATGCCAATTCCATTTTTGATGCATGTTTTTAAAAAAAAATCGTATTCCTTATTCGTCAATTTAATATAGATTCTGTGGATTTTATTAAAAATAGTTTGAAGTATAGCGAAGAGGCAATTTAAGAAAGTTATAGTAGTTTGAAATTCCAAATAATTATTTCAATCTACTGAATATTGGGAAATTTGTACTTTATTTGCGTACGATTTCCCTTAAATAAAATTACACTTGAATAAACATAATGTCTTTTGTAAACAACTCATGTCTTCTTAAAATAGTTAGGCCGTTCAATTACAATTTATAAAAATGACCAGTTTTCAAAACCCATTTAAAAAAAAAAAAATTCTATTAAAACTTTTTTTTTTTTTTTTTTTTGCTTCTTTTTTTTTTACTCTGATAAAACTAGGAAATATTTAGAAAAGGTAGTCCAAGCATTATAATTATAAGTAAGTTTGTTTTGTTTTTTTCTATTTGCGTTCAGCCTATAAAATAATGTTTGAAGTCATTATAGTGATAGAGCCCTTTTTAATTGAATTTTATTTTTTGAAATTTCATTTATTAACTATGTAGCAATCCCTAAAAATAATGTAAATAAAACATTAAAGCCACATAACTAGTTTTAGTTGTTTTTGTTTTTTTTTCAATTATTATTATTTTATTTATTTTTTTGCATAACACAAGAAAGGTCAAGAAATGTCCTTTTTGCCAATCCTGCATGGAAAGATGATAATTAATATCCTCATCTCATCTTTAACTCCCTAAAATATCCGAGGCCCCCTGCAGTCGTAGGGGTTGCTGGGCACAAGATGGCTCTGAGGTTAAGTGACACCTACAATTTTTAACTAGGATATCTTCCGTTGCTCTCCAATTAAGTGTAGGCTGTTGCAAAACTAAATTCAGATAGGTGATAACATGTATTCTTGAATTTAAAAAAAAGTTTTGGGACTAAAAAGATTTAAAAGGTAAGAAAAGTCTAGGGCAAAAGCGTATCCTCAAGGGTGACACAACTAGAGTGAATTTAGTTTACGTCCCGCCGGTGCGGGATTTAAGATGTCTTTGGTCCTTATTATGGCTCAAAGTTTGAAATGCCACTTCAAAATTGCCTGAAAGAAACAACAAATTCGAGTATGTGCCAAAATAATGCACCCCTGCATTTTGTCTTTGTACGAAAGTCTTTAGTGCCCTAAATTACGCACCCCTTCCCTCTCGCTGATCAATGGTACAGTATGGGGTTGATTATAAGCTTGTGCCTAATGATTACCCTGGGGCACGCCAAAAACGGAGTGAATTTAGTTTATATAGGGCACTGGGCTAAAAAATGCCTCCCACAAAACCTTAAAAAAGTTCTTCCCTGTTCAAAAGGTATAATAGAAACGTCGAATTCAAGTATACTCAAAAATACATTTCTTAACTTTTAAATAATCAAAATTCTTCTAAGGAGCGGGCTCCACAAACCCCTCCACCGATCAAAATTCATCGGTGCCCTCGATTTCAGCCCTATGTACTCGATGAAAATGATCACCGATTTTGGTATTGATAGATACACTACCTAGTGGCATAGCTACTATTAGTGCCGCCATGGGCGGCCAAATATTTTTGCCGTCCTCTCTGTCACGATTCAAACTCTCCAGTTGTCCAAAAATGCCACACCAGCATATAAAGAAAAAGTGACACCTGGGTGGACCGCTAAATACGTCCTATTTTGACGTCACTAGCAGGGGGTGTATCTACAGTGTTTGGCTTCAGGGAACAAGATTCATTTTTACGCCCCTCTCTAATTCTGAAATCTATTATTATCAACCAATTAATACAATCTAAGCCGATTTTTGCTCCCCCCCCCGCTTGTCACGCGTCCGGTGACATATGTCCCATCTGCCACCCCTTAGCTGCGCCTCTAGCAACTGGCACTGCCCCCCTCCGAAAATCTGAAGTGCCCCCCCCGGGGGAAAATTTCTGAAAGAAACACTGCTCTTACTGTCATCAACAGTATTTCATTTCGCTTACAAGAACGTCATTTTGGGATTTCTTTTTAAGTTGGGGGGGGGGGCGCACAAAAATAAAACTAGACCGGCTTGTTGAGTTGTTTATCACTGGAGACGCCAAAGTACATAGCACCCTGTCCCCTGGCACCATATATTCCAGATACGCCCCTGCCAGTGGCATAGAAAGGGGGCGGTGCTCCGTCCAGGTGTTTCTTTTTCTTTATATGAAGCTGAGTCATTTTCAGACAACTGCAGAGTTTGTATCGTGAGATGGAGTGCGGCAAGAATGCTGACCCGCCCAGAGTGGCACTAATACTAGCTATGCCATTAGGCAGTGTATAAATTGGAACCAAAAATTGCTATCATATTTATCGAGAAGTAGGGACAAAATTTGAGGGCACTGATGGCTCTTTTGCAGGAGAGGGGTCATGGGTGCCCCCTCCCCATTAATTTTTTTTTATATTATTTCAAAATCAAGAAGTGTATTTTGGAGTTCACCTAAATTTATTGTTTCTATTATAATTTCTTTTTGATCGGGAGAAGGACTGTTTTGAGCATCCGGGAGAGACATGACAGCGGTTCAGTGATAATCTGCATTCACCCCGGGTGGGGCGTGCCTCGGGATAATTATTTGGCACATGCTTATATTCAACCCCGTACAGTCCTATTAATCAGCGCTAGGGAATTGGGTGCAGAAATTGAGGGTGCCAAAGACCCTAGGGGCTAATTCAAAATACAGGGATGTATTTTGGTGCATACTTGAATTCAGTGTTTCTTTCAGACAGTTTGTAAGGGGTATTTCTGAAATTACTTCAGAATTTAAGGTAGGATGAGCCGAAAGAGTCATAATAACGACCAGGGACATCTTTAACTCCGCCTCAACCCAAAATGAACTAAATTCATTCCAGTTGTGTCATCCTTGAGGAAATGCTTTTTGCACTAGCTAATTCTCGATTATTAAATCTTTACAATTATAGTCCTCAGAAAATTGTTGATATATTCTGGTTCTGGTAGTGTTCGTTGCTGCATCCATATACTGGCATCTCTGCAACGGTTGGGGAAGCGATGTTGCTACTCTAACAGCGCCTAGCAGATGCCAGGGCAGCCTTGAAGCTTTCGACCGATGTCGAGTCCACAGCAGCATTGTCTGGGTGGTTCCAAGCGATTATTGTGCGTGGGAAGAATGATTGTTTATACTGCATTGTATTACATTATTACACCGAGGCATATTGAAGCATTTTCTATTGTTCCGGGTATAATTGTTTATGGGGTTGCCAGTGGTGAAATCAGTGTTCAGTGAGTCAGTGAGCGTTTTGCTCTGATTAATCGACGTGGCTTCTGTGGGGTGAGATATATGTTTGCTGGGATGGCTGGCACTATGCATTTTATGCACATACCTGAATTTAGTTAAGCAACAGTGTACACTTGATTTTATTTGGAGAGCAACGCAAGAGATGCTAGTTAAAAATCCAGGTGTCACTTAACACTTAACCTCGTGATCGCGTGTTAAAACCCAAGGAAAAGACACTTATTATTTCCTTAAAGACTTAATTCTTTCAGGCTCAGGGTAATTGCTAACAGGCTAACATTCTATTTCTTGAGTTGGACTAAAAAAATCACATAACTTAGACTCAAATTACTCGCTCGAACAGTTAACGTGTTTGTTTAAATACTTCCAACGTCATATTCCTGATTTCGTGCTTTACGAACACCAGAATTTTATCAATTTTAAAAGTTAGAATTAGAAACCGAAACAAAAAGTGATTTACCGGGAATTCATCGGCTGATGTCAGCTTGGACACGAAACTAAGTTGACAAAACTCCGGATTCAGGAAGAAGTCAACCCACATTTACAAAGAGCTAGACATTTTTTAAAGTTAAATTCGTATCGGACCAACATCAGAAATGTACAGCGAGATCTGCCTTCTTTGGTAGATTTGGTATACATGAATATACATTCATTAATAATTAATAGACTTAGTATTAGTATGAATCAATAATTATGTCATAAATGATAGTAGTAAGTAGTAGTCAATAGTACTACAAGTTACTACAAGTCAGTAGTAGTAGTACTTTATTTAACTATAACTATCATTATGATTCATTGATATTATTATTATTATCGATCATTAAATTCATTAATAATTATATATTATTATCTTAACTTTGATGTTAAAAAAGTATTATGTCATGCTATGCATATAATAATATTGTCATTGATCTCAATCTAGTAAAATACACTTTAGCGGGGGCGGGGGGAGGGGGGGGGGGGGGGGGGGGTGTCTAATGTATAACTATTACCACTGTTATTATAACTTAAAATTACTAATCGTAAAATAGTTTCAGTGGCGTACGTAACTAAGTTAGTAAATGCCACCTGGGACAAACTCCCAACATGTGCCTCTTAACACGCACATATATTATCATTAACCCTTATGAGGCTGAGCCTTTCTGGAGTGTCAGTGCCAAGAAGTCTGAGCCCTTTTTACAAGCGCAGCACCAGGGCCGGCCCGACAGTTGCTGGCACCCTGTGCAAGCTTAACTTGGCACCCCTTATATTTATAATAATTAAAGGAAAAAACTTGTTATTCGGTAATGATTTTATTATCTATGGTTTTTTTTAACCAAACAATGAACAGTTCATTGTATGTCAAAAAACAACAACATAGCCTTAGGTAAACTTTCGCTCTGTGCGAAGCACCTGTTCGGCGCCCACTTCCCTGTTTCTGTATGGCTCCGCTTTTTTCCCGATTACGACGTACTTTTTCTGCTTTGCGCTTGCAATTTTGCGCCCCGGAAAGCTTTTTGCTCCCCATATTCTTTCTGCTGAAATAATTGTAGAGGGACAAGGAAATACAGTATTAATAAATTAATTTCCACGCCCTTTCAGTTGGACCCAACCCGAGTGTTAGTATCCAAATTAAGAATGCACCTTTCAATGTATGAAACTCATTGTATGAAAAGCGATTGTACGAAAAGTTAGAATACCGTTTCTCGACCCCAGACCCAAGGTTCACACTTCACTATAATAACTAAGGGAATTCAAATATTTACTTCTCCGGCGCCCCGAGGGCACAGGTCGTACACCCTAAAGGCCGGCTCTGACGGCACTCATATTGAAAAAAAAAAAAAAAAAAAAAAAAAATTAATAAACTATAATTACTTTACAAGTATAAAACTATATGCATTCTTATAGAGATTGAATGAAATAATAAAATCCTTACAAATCAAACTCAAATTTCAACATTTATGCAAATGAGATACCTTGATTAGCATAATTTATGCATTTAATATTTTTTACACTTAGAATAAATATGTCTTACTTTGCAGCATTTGGTTAAATTTTATGTTGGTTGAAGCCTAAATAAGACCTAACCCATATTTTAATAAGATGCAGTGTGAAAAACTAAATAAAATATTCCCTGGTGGCTGCTTATGCCTTTTGGCATATTCAAGGTCACATATTTTTAAGCATTTATAGGGTTCACTAGGTAAAAAAAAAATTATATAAAATGACAGAACACTATCAATGGAAGCCGCCATTAAAATGACGAAATGAGGAAGAACTTGGAGAAGCAATCTGATTAGCTGGTACGAAGATCAGCCAGCCAATCTTGAGGCTTGAATTATCAGGCCAATAGATCGGCTTTTCGTCTTTTTCGCCATTTGACCCTGGCGATGCGGTCTCAAAGGGGTTAATATAATTTAAAATATAAACCCCAGATCTGCTGCCCAGTGTTGTCATCTCCTTTGCACACTAAGAACACCACTGTTGAGTGTACTTATGGACTTAAATCACTAGGGGCCTATACTATATACACCAATAAGTACTAAACTTGACTTAAGTAAAGGTTAAGGGGACTTTTTTTTTTTAACTTTTCAATATCTGTTAAATCATAACACAAATTTCTTTATATGAAATTGAATGTTTTTATTCAAATTAATGTTTAAATTTTAATATTTTTTGTTAAAGTTACAAGTTTGGCCTTAGCCTTAGGACTCTTGGCGCAGAATGGTAGACATTTATTTCTATCAGAGAAGTTGATTTGGACATTTTATGGGGTAGAACCAATAATAGAGCCTCAGGAAAAAAATGTCTATTTTTACTAAAGTATATATGAAGAGTCGATTTTCAAAATGCGGTATCCACCATTTTTGAAAAAAATTAGATAACTGTACATTCTTGTAAAGCAAACCAGGTTCCTTTAGGACATGTTAAAGTTTATCTACAAAACATATTTTAATTCTATATTATTGTATGTCTAAAAATGATTTTATTTTCAAAACGCGTTTGAATTTTTTTTTTTTTTTATTTACAAAATGCTGTATATATTTTTGGACCAATCCGTGAGATTGGCAAGCTGATTCTGTGGCATTCTGCGCATGCGCACTTAACATCACGAAGCGAAACGGCAACAAACATGGTAGTTAACGACAGCCTGGATGAAAGAGTTGTTTGTACTATAAAATCTTGAAAATAAAAATAAAAATAGCTCAACACGAAAAAAAGAAAAATAATTTCGTCATTCAAGCGGAGGAAAGTTACCCTCCGTTACGTGTAATCATGATAAAGGGTTCTGCAAGGTGAATTACCGGTAACTTTATTAAATAACCACTAAAGTTCATTTTACATTAACATGGTAAAACTGAAAGTTACTACACATCAGAAGTGTAATTGAAATGAACATAAAAAGTTGCTTTACAGAGTTAGCTGTGTTATTTATTACACATTCAATCTTTCACTTGCAGAGACAGCCATTACAGAAGAAAGGGTGTTCAAGGACAGAAATATTTGCCCTCTGATTTGAATGTAAATAAGAAGCATCGACTTGTCCTGGAACAAAACCAAACTGCTATTGAAGATGCTGCATACTCTAAATCAGACTCTTCATTATGTTCTATTTTGTTGTTCTAAATTCAAATAAAATGATTTGTGAATTGAGCATTATCTTGTTTACTTTTGTTTAGAATTCAGATTTATAAAAAAAATCATGCAGACTTATAGCACTCTAAACTTTACACTATTACAGGGGACTTTCCAGCATTTATAATACTGTTCTGTTAAAATATATCAATAAAAAGATTAATCATACACAATTATATAATGTATATGATACAATTTTATTTTAGTTTGTTATGTAGGTGGCTTGTAATCTATAAACAAACTAAATTATTTGCTACTGGGAATAATGTTATGCTATCAAAATGGATATACAGCATTTTTTTGCTAATTTATAGGTGGATACACAGCATTTTGAAACAAAATAAGAAATTGAAAATGGTAAATAAATACATTTTAATTAACCTACATTTCAATTTTCATCATAATCTAACTTATATTTTGAATATATACCTAAATTAACATTTACTTTTCCGAAAATTTGAGCCATCATTGTGTAGCAAAAAAAGTCGAATATCTCAAAAACGCCAAAAATGGAGAAACAGCATTTTGAAAATCGACTCTTCATATAGTATTAGTAACAAATGCTATGAAGAGGGCATCCAAGCCATATTATTGCTTAGTCTTCTTGTCTCTGCCTTAAATATATAGTGAATTGTTTTATTATTATATTTATTAATTTAAATTATAATGCTTTTTTTTTTTTATCTACTAATAGCATAAATAGAGTATCAAGTTATCAAGTATCCAATAAATGAGAGTTCCAGTGACATCTAAGAATGAGTGACTTGTCATCATCGTTTGACTCTGATTCAGAGGATGAAAAAGTGCAACCAAGCTTTTCATCAAGGTTAGTCATTTCTGTAATGTAAAGCAGTCACCTGTAGAGTTTTACATTAGATTTTACACCATTCTATCTTGGATGAATGTCCAAATGACATAACTAATGCTTTTAGCACTTACAAAATTTAGCTGAAATTACTGTAAAATGTTACCACACTTTCATCCATGTTGTGGCAAGAATAGGATACGATTTTCTGGATGTTAAGTGTTGAACAACTCAAAAATTACCTTTTTTCTGTTACAGGCCTTCAAATCACCATGATACACAGTCTCAAAATGAGGCCAGGGAAAAACAACATAAAATTCAAAGTCTTCAGCGGAGACTGGAAAAAACATCAAGCCATGGCACAGCACAGGGATTGAATAGTGGTGAACAGAATTTAAGTGTGTCCAATCCTTTCTCAAGGTCAGGGGCTAGACCAAAGACACAAAAGGAACCCCTTCATGGGCTATCAAACAAGACTGAGTTTAGACAGGCAGCCACAAGCCATGGTGACAGTTCTTGGCAGTTTGAACAAAGACATCAACCTGTGCCTCATCACAACCAAGAGTCTTACAGGCAAGCTCAAGATCCCCAGAGACAAGCACCTGCGCGTAATGTCCAAAATGGAGCGCAGGGTCAAGAAGAATTCAGAGCCAATTCAAATTTCAACAGACCTCCAAGGGATTCCTACAGGCCACCTGGTCACAATGGTGCAGGCCACATTGGCTACAATAAGTTGAAAGAATGGGCAGAGATCCAAAACTCAACAATATTGCTTTTCCAGATGAGCTCAGACTTGCAAGGCCTGGCCAAGTTGTTGAACCAAGACAAGTTGAACTTTGACTGGGTTGTGCTGCTCATCACAGCCCTCAAGAAGATTCTTGGTGCCCAGTCTCAGAAAGGTTTTCTCCATCACGTCCTAAAGTGTGTGTGTGATTCCCACTTTCTAGAATTGCATCTCTTTACATTTCTTCAAGATATGCCCAGACACAGATGTACAGAAATGTACAGTATTTTTAACAACATCATTGTTATCTTGGACTATCTGATTTTGAACATGAACTCTGACAAGGGCAAATGCAATCGATCTTTACTTACTATTATGGAAATTGGAAAACGCTTGAATGTTATTACTGAAGGTAGTGACTTGCTCATTAAAGTCCAGAGACTTATCGGTTTATCAGATGGCAATTCAAAACATAATCAAAAATCTTTTTTGCATAATGAGCCCATCATATCTAGAAGACAGAGGTTCATTCCTAGAGCTGATGAAGAGACACCCCCTGACAGCTATGCAGATATTGCTATATTTCCAGACACAGACGAACTGTTCTCTCCTGTTGAACCATTTCTGAGAGCAAACAAAACAAAAGGACCTTACAGAGACCTCCAACATTATCTGGATGTGCATGCAAGATTAATGAAAGAGGACTACCTGTCCCCAATCAGAGATGGCCTTAAACATTTTAAGGAAAATTTTCAAACTGGAGAAAAAATCAGTGAATCTGATCTCAGGTTCTATTACAATGTTCAGCTAACAAAAATGTCATGTGATGCTGATCATGGCATCACATACTTTGTTAGGTTTGACAACTCTGGCCTGAAAAATGTTAATTGGGAGTTCAGCAAGCGTCTTAAGTTTGGATCCTTGTTGGTATTTTCTAAAGACTGTTTTGAAACAACCATGTTCGCCACTGTTGCCAACAGAGATGTGAAGCCCCTGGAAGAGGGAATCATTCAAGTTATGTTTCAGAACAATCTTGAACAAGTTTTCACTTCATCTGAACATGATACTTTTGTAATGGCAGAAACAACAGCCTATTTTGAATCTTACCGACACGTTCTGGAGGGTCTACAAGAAATGCAGAGTATCCCACTTGAGAGATATATTATTGGTTGTAAGCGTGAAATACATCCTCCAGAATACCTGAACGATGATACCATCTATAATCTTGCAAGTTTACAGAACCAAAATAGTGACTATTTACCCGTGACTGTTTTAGATGACATAGAATGGCCAGCAGCATATCAAACACAGTTGAATGATTCACAGCTTGAAGCATTACAGTTGGCTCTGACAAAAGAATTGGCCATCATCCAGGGCCCACCTGGGACTGGTAAAACTTATATTGGTCTAAAAATTATGAAAATTCTGTTAGAAAACTTGGAAAAATCTGGACCTGTTTTGGTGGTCTGTTACACAAATCATGCTCTAGACCAGTTCTTGGAAGGCATGCTTGACTTTTGCTCTGAAGGTGTTGTCCGAGTTGGTGGCAGGAGTTCAAGTAAACTCCTTGAGAGATTAACTCTTAAAGCTCTTCGTCGAAATCCACCATTAATTGATCGCAAAACTCAAAATAATATAAATAAAAATTTAGGCATTTGCAGAAAAGATTTGAAGGAAATCAGTCAACAGGTAGAGAGATTTTGGCAGATGTCTTTACAGCTGGAAACAACTATAGTAGATATTGAAGATTTAAAAGATGAAATAACAGATGATCACTACATTAGCCTGAGTGATTCACGTAGAGTTACCAGCAGCAATCCACATGTTCTACGCACTTGGCTCAAGGCATCAAATGCCAATATGGAAAACCATCTGGCCAAGGCTGCAAAGCGCCACCTGGCCAAGGTCATAGCCCGTGGAGATGAAGAGATGAGTGATGACAAGGTAAAAGATCTCCATTCGGCTGGAAAACTTCTCTTTCAGGACCGGGTAAAGATATACCACTACTGGCTGAACAAACACAAAAAGAAACTAGAATTTGAAACTGAGTTACTTCTTTCGCGTGACTCTGATGACAATGGAAAGGTTGAGATGCTTGTACATGACTCAGAAAGAGCTTCTTTGGACATTCTCCCAGATGATGAACTAATGCCTTATATGAGCACCAATGTCTACATGTATATTACACAATGGAAGGACTATGAGAGCAAAGACATTGAATTTGACAATGACTACATTAGGTATTGGCTCAGCATGAATTTTAAAAGGGCTGACGAGTTCCTTGATGCCATCGATCAGCTCTCCAGCGTGAAAAGTGAAGGTAACCCACAGAATAAACAGCGCACCAATTTGGCTGGTTCTGACATTCACGACTTTGAAGAGCCTTGGGTTATTGAGGAAAGTGACGTAGATGAAACAGATAGCGAGGCGGAAGATGATTCAGATGAGACTAGGAGTAGAATAGATGACATTGACGATGGTGGGGACGTTCACAGGTTAAACTTTAAAATTCTGGGAGAAAATTACAAAGAATCAAAAACAAAAGAGATTCATTTGTTGCTCCGGGCAAAAATGTTGCAAATTGATCTCACTGAAACCGCTGAAGATAATGAGGATGAAGAATGGCAGACCACCAACAACATGTCTTACAGCAAAGTATTTAAACTTTTCCACAAAACAGTCCCATTTACAGAACAACAAGTATCAGAAATAACTGATGTGTGGAAGCTTCCATTAAGGGATCGATATAAATTATACAAATACTGGGTATTAGAAAGAAAGAAAAAATTAAGTGAGAACTTAAAAATATTGTCCACAGAATACCAAACAGTGCTGCAGCGCAAGAAGGAAGCACTTGGATACAAAGATATTGCCATCTTGGAAAAGGCGAAAGTTATTGGAATGACTACAACAGGAGCTGCTAAGTACAGAAAAGTTTTGCAGGCCGTAGAGTGTCGTATTATAATTGTTGAGGAAGCTGCTGAAGTTCTTGAAGCTCATATTGTAACCACACTAAACCCAAAGTGTCAACAGCTGATATTGATTGGTGATCACCAGCAATTACGTCCAAACCCCACAGTCCACAAGCTGGCCATTGATTACAACCTGGAAATATCTTTGTTTGAACGCCTGGTGAAGAATAATCTACCGCGTGTGACTTTAACGGAACAGCATCGAATGCGGCCAGAAATTTCCAGATATGTTAAACATATTTATCCCCATCTGGTTGATCATGCGTCTGTGGAAGATTTAGCTAGCATTAAAGGGGTGGATTCTAATGTTTTTTTCTTGCAGCACTCATTTGAGGAGAGTGGTGTGGATGACAGCACAAGTAGATCCAATGTTCATGAGGCTAAATTTCTTGTTGCACTATGCAAGTACTTTCTCCAACATGGGTACTTAGGTCGGCAGATAACCATACTAACGGCTTACAGTGGCCAGGTCGCATGTATAAGAAATGAGATGGAGCCAGAGGAAAGTGTTTTTGAATTTGTTAGAGTCACCTCAATAGATAACTATCAGGGGGAAGAAAATGACATTATCTTGCTGTCCCTTGTGCGAAGCAATACAGAGAATAAGGTGGGTTTTCTGAAAACTGACAACAGAGTCTGTGTGGCTTTGTCCAGGGCAAAGAGAGGAATGTTTGTCATTGGAAATCTCAACTTACTAGCTTCAAACAGCAAACTGTGGACAAACCTTTTGATGACTGCCCGTGACTACCGTGTTACTGGGCTCCACATGAAATTGATTTGTGTTAACCATCCCCACCATATTACCTATGTTGCGAACCCTGAAGATTTTCAAAGAGAGGTTCCAGAAGGTGGTTGTAATAAACTATGTGAAACTCCACTATCTTGTGGGCACCTGTGCACTAGAATGTGCCATGCTTCTGACAGATTTCATGAAGAAACAAAATGCCAACAGCCGTGTTTGAAAACCTGCCTACAAGGTCACCCATGCCAAAAAGACTGCTATGAAGAGTGTGGTGATTGTGAAGTTCGTGTCACTAAATATATGCCTCTCTGTGGACATGATGATTTGGTGCCTTGTTCAAAAAATGTTGAAGATGTTACCTGTTCACAAAATTGCGGCCAGACGATGTCTTGTGGTCATACATGCCGTGGTCAGTGTGGTAGGTGCATGATGCAAGCTCAGCATCAAGCTTGCCTAGAGAGGGTTGATGTAATCTGGCCTTTGTGTAAGCACACTGTAAATGTTGAGTGTAGTACTGACCCATCTGTTGATCCTTGCCCTGAGAAATGCACAGAACGCTTAGAGTGTACCCATAGATGTAAAGGGACATGTGGCGGGTGTCTGTCAAACCGTGTCCATAAACCTTGCTTAGAAAAATGCAAGAAACCTTTACCATGTGGTCATTTTTGCTCTGGCCCGTGTGGGGGTCAGTGCGTACCATGTGGCACTAGGTGTTTATCTTCCTGTAGGCACAGTGATTGCAACAAAACAACTTGTGGAGAAATCTGTGATCCTTGCACTGAAAACTGTGCACTGGTTTGTCAACATCAGCAATGCAGCTTGCGTTGTATGGATGAGTGCCCAGCGCCACCTTGCAGCAAAAAATGTGGTAAACCTGTACCTAAATGTAAACACAAGTGCTTCTCTTTGTGTGGGGAAGCCTGTGTCTGCTATAAATGTGAAAAGGACAAATTTACTCTCATCGATAACAACAATTCGAAAAAGCCACAAATAATTGTTGCTCATGAAAAACGTGAACGGGCTAAAAAGTTTGAAGTTGATTCTGAAACTGTTTTGATGAAGATCCCCAAATGTGGACATATATTCACACTGACACAGTTAGACAGATGGATGGAGGGATATGACCCTAAGGGCACTGACTTTATCAAATGTCCTGTCTGTTCTGCCCCTGTACAAGCTATTGCCAGATATGAAAAGCTGAACAAAGGTAGACTTGAAAGAAGGGAGAACAAAAAATCTGCGCTGATCAAATCAGCCATGGTTTCCAGTGAAGGTATTGCCAGCTTAAAGCAGTCGAAAAACATTGTTAAGGATGGCTTCTGCTCAGTGGATGGAGGGGACTTTCTGACTCGAAAACCTGAAGAAATAGATACTAATCATGCTCTGGCTCTTTCTCTACAATTTCGTTTTGCTTACGTGCTAAGAAAAATTCATGACATCCACCGTGACTTTAATGAAGATGTGGATTTTAAAATAAAGAAATGGGAAAAGGTCATCAAATCAATTCACAGAAACATCACAGATCAGTTCCATAAGGAAATGACCCTAGAGCTGCACCGACTGTTGTTCCTGGAACAGATCAGTATTTTGATCAAGTTTCTGCAGGACATAAGTTTGAAACTTCCCTCGGAGCTTAAGACAACCTGCCGTGCCATTCTGAAAGATAACAAACAAAAGCTGACAAGTGAAGATAAAGCAGCTTTCCAATCTATTATAGAGACCCTTTATGAGATGTTTAATGGCCTTGACCAGGAGGATTACTGGTATATCAGAGTTATCAAACTGAAGAAGCTCTCCAAAGATGTGATGAGAGTTCTTGATGAACCTATCGATAAGGTGAGTACATTTTAGATTTATTTAAATTATTATAAAATAATTTTGAAGAAAAAAAAACTTTCATACATTTAAGAAAAACAAAAATTAAAATTTTATTTTTAATATCTGAAAGTTGCCCACAACAATTCCTTAAAACAATGTTTGCTTAGGCCAGTGGTCAGCAAACCGCGGCTGGCGAGCCACATGCGGCTCTTCAGCAACCTTGAGTGTGGCTCGGCCAGTTGGCCGCAAATCGCTTTTGACTCCGAAAAACATGGTTTTTGAAAGAGATTTGGCTCTCAATTTTTTTTATAATTGTCCTGCTGCTGATTTTTGGCTGAGTTTTCCGACCACTGGCTTAGGCAAATGCGTTACTTTTTTCTACATAAGACTGCACGGTTGTAGTTTTAATTCATTTCTTATTTACCGCTACCAATATTTTACAAGATAATAGTATCTAATAGTAATAGTTCTAACATAAATGCTAAAGTCTTGTGACTAAACATTGTGGAAAAGAAAGCATTTAAATGAAATAGTTATAATTCGTCCTTAATTTATGTGTAACAAAGACTCTGAAGAAATGAAAGAAATTTTGTCCTTGCATAAACACTATGAAGAAATGAACACTATCTATTTGATTGTACAATGGGGACTACCAATCTAGAAGCTAAAAATGATGCAAATCTTTATTCACCTTAATCATTGCTGAGTATAGCAGCTTTTAATAGAGTAAAAATGTGATGCTCTTTGGGATTCATACTGCCTTTAAAAAAATTAAAACACCCACTTCAATAATAGGGTTGCATACTGATTTATTTTAAGAAATCAACATTAGATTATCTACCTTCAAATATATTTGTTTAAACTTTTAAAATAGAAGTCATTGAAATATCTTCCCCCTAAATGCATGCATACTGTGTTTACTCATTCATTTTTTGTTTTTTTTTGCTTACAGGATCTCCACTCAATCCTAATGTGAGATCCCATCTTTCAGTCCAATAACTCAACAATTGTTCAGTACAGAAAACAAGCATAACTTGGGTAATCTAGCATAACAATGCAGATAAATTTTAGAGGATGTTTCAACAAGTTTTAAAATTGCATTGAAATATATCAAGTGTGTTTATGTTATTTTTATGTAGTAATGTTTCAACTTGGAAATTATTTGTAGAAAATCAATATTTGGATTTAAAAAATGAACTATTTTAATTTAAAATCTGCACATTAATTTTTACATAAACTTCAGTTTTTATTTGCATAACTTTGATATGTTACTTTTAGTGAAAGCCTTGAAATATTTTTTAAATGTATTTTTATGGCTGATGTGAATATCTTAAATACTGTATACTTTGATATCATATGCCTGTACAGCTCAACTTAAAATCTCCCTGTGAACCCCGCTTAAAGGAAGAGCTCTTAGATAAATTTGTCAAATTTATACAAATAATGTGTACCATTATAAAACTTAATTTTTCAAACATATATAAATGTAATAATTATTAAATATATACTTTTATATGAAAAGTAGCTTTGTTTTGAGCTACTTTCATTGTGCATATACTTCAATACTTCTTCCTTGGTATTAATATTATTAATTTTAAATACTTCAAATCCTTTAATTTGTGTTTTTTTTTAATGAAGCATGATAATTATAATAATTGTTCATGGCTATTTTTTTTTAAATGTAATTTTGTTTTTTAATTGGCGTCAACTTCATGTTAGTTAAGACTTTTATTTGTTGGTAAACTCAGTCCACTTGTAACTTTGATAATGTTTCATCATCTCATTAAGGAAAACTGTAAGCTTGAAAATGTTAATTTGTTTAACTCATGAATTGGTTTTAAATTAACAATATATCTGAAACACTGTAAAAAAAAATGATCACAGTTTTAGAGACTTTGTCGGGAAAAAGGCTAGAAGTGGGGAGGTATTTTAGTGGGAGGAAAAGCTTTTAGATGTCATTTAGATTTTTTTTTTACAGTTGGACTTATTTCGATAACTATGTAATGAGTTTTCTTAATGTATTGAGAATTATTTACTTCAACTTATCGTTTAAAAAATAAGATACAAAATATATATGTTACATTTCATTATATAGCAGCAAGGAAAATAATAAGATTAACTTCTCTTTCAAAGCTTCATGGCTTCACGCATATTGTCATTTGCTTTGATTTGCAAATATAATTGTTTGGTAAATGATATAACCTACTAAAACATTGATCATGGTCTTATGTAATATCATTATCGTAGATATCTCTCAATTACCGTTATATGAAACTGTAATTTAATGTTTAAGAATCATGTACTAACCTAGATACAAAGGGCCTTGAATAATTACTTGAAAGTTAATGAAGATTTCACTAAGATAATTTCATATGTAATTTATAGAAAAATGTCATTATGCATCAACATAAATGTGTTATAAGTTGCATTAATTTATATTATTTTTTAAATATATCATTAATATCAATAGAAATCAAATAAATTGCACTCTAGGTACTGTGGAAAAATTATAGCCTCTTTATACGATAACTGAAAGGATAACAATAACATACAGAGATTGTTTTCATTTTCAGCTTGCTATGTTTAAAAAAAAAACGTATTAACTTACTGGTAATGAAACAATCGTCTTGGCAACACCATTTAACACCATTTTAAAATCTGTTGACAAATAATATGATTCCATTAGTTGCCTTAGTTTCTAATTTATTTATTGAATAAGTCGTTATTGCCCTCTCTTTCTATTTTCCTTTTTTTTTTTAATGATTATTAATATAGATTATAGATTTAGAATAAGTTGTTTGAGCGTTATATCAGCACTGCTAAAATACCTAACCATTCAACACCAAAACATTTTCACTTGAGATATGCCCATCTAACTAAGTCATTGTATTTTAACCTTTCTTATTTATGTGAAACTTGCTTCTTTTTAATCTTTCAGTTTGCACCAAATATTTTTTACAATTCTAGGGGCGAAAAGCTATTTAAATTAAATATGAACTAACGCGGTAACCCTATGTCACACTTTGCTAAGTCATTGTAAATGGTTATGTGGAAAATGTTCTTCCACACCTTGAATGTAATTTATTTTGCTGTGGGCCTAATTGCCATTGTATTCCCTGAGAATTTTAAGTCTTTAAACCAGACTGCAAAATACCTAATTAATTTAATTGCTGTTGGATCTAACCATGGCTTAATTTACATTAATCAATAATTACTTTTCATTGATTAGCCTACTATAGAACCATAATTATTACTGTACAAAAGCTTATTGATAAATTATTGTTTATATAAAAAATAAATTATATTTTAAGTTCATTCATTAATTGGTGTTAATGGAAAAAATACTTTTTAATTGTATACAACGTTTATAATTGTTTACAAATTGATCAGGACATAGTGTGGTCCTATATAAACAATGAAAGAATAAAGTATTAAGTAAAAGCTTCTTTCAGGAAACCGATTTCTTCTTTGTTTTTAATTTGTTTTGTAAGGAATTGGCTGCTTGAAATTGGAACTGCGACCTGATAATATATGGATAGACTCCTGTCGGTCTGTAACACTGAAAAGTTTTAGAAGCATTGGTATGAATAACGACTTTAAGATAGATGTGTGTAGGCAGGGTTAACCTTAGCAATTTTGGCACCCCAGGCATGTTAAAATTGTGGTTTACAGAATATAGAGACAATAATCTGTTTGAAATTTTAAAAATAGCTTTCATTACTGGTTATTGAAAAGGCGTAACTCTATATGGAAAAATCCCGAATTTCAGCATTCAGTTATAAGCTATACATTTTTTAAATTTAAAAACTAGTATACTATTTTTAAAAAAAAATGTCTTGCTCTTCTGTAACAAAAACATTGATGACATCTTCATAATCTAGTCGACTGGCAAGATCATTTTGTTCTAGTCTATTCACTCTTTACGAACGGCTGACCATTCTTAAACATGAGATCGCTCTCAATGTGAAAAAATGTAGCTCTCAAATGAGACAAGCGACCGGTTTACTTGGAATCCAAATGCACAATACTGTACAAGATATGAACTGCCAAGCTCAACCTGGGGAAAAAGCTCGCATTGGGGCGCCTGAGCAGAAGCACTCGGAGCTCTTTTCCTGAGTTATATGGTGTAAGGTCCGTGATTGACTACAGCATGCCAGTCCAATCCTTTGCAAGCAAAAACAGCATTGGGAAGATTGGGCCGAGTCAGGCTCTGGTGGTGCAATCAAGACCACACCTACAGCTGCTACTCATCACAAAAATTAAAATTTGTTTTGTAGTTGTTGTTTTTATAAATTATATTTTCTCTTTATTTTTGTATTCATTTTTCTCATGGTGGGATGCCTGAAAGAAACAATTCTTTAAATCACTATTTTTTTGTACCGGTAAAGCTAAATCTGATATTTTCATTTAACACGCGGTTTATGTTTAGTGTGTGAGTGTGAGGGATAAATTTTCAAATGATTTTTGCCTGTGACTGAGAAAGATAGCCCAAGCTGTAGAGATGGACAAGGTACACCGACCTATCTACGCATTTGGCAACAACAAAAAAACAACAACAAAATTGTATATGACCTTTTAAATATAATATGGACAAAATATTTATATTAGTTGTTATTTCTCCTGTATAATATACGACTTAGGTCGGACTCATTGGCCAATCCGACACAAGCCAGCATACAGTATGGTACAGCATAAATCCTTAGTGTCCACATAATATGCATACTCAGGGTAATAGTCCAGATAAAACACTCACGGGTGGGACTTGCAGGGTCGGGGCACGACATGTCGGGGCATGCTAGCGTGAACACCTCTCGCCTTCGGGCTGGCTGGCCATAGTCTGTACCACTTTGTATTAAAGTGGCCCGCAGACCAGCTTTTTTGTGCGGAGAAAGGTGGCTGGTTTTGATGGTCTTGGCTGGGTAGCCCCAATTTTTCCTTTAAAATGGTTTGTATACTTTAAAGACCGTAAAGGTCAGTAATTTCGTCCTTTGAGAAAAGTATTGCACTCCTCTGAAGTTAACGCTATCGGCAGCTGCCATCGCGGCCGTCATGACAGCGTCGTTGGTTCTGGACAAAGTAATGCACCGATGCCCCTTATTCCTGTCTAAACTTTTCAAGTAATGTTAGAAAAAAAAAAACATTTTGGCCCAGGTGGGACCCTGCGCTATTGTCAGGGTTTCTTTCAATTTCATCGGAAAGTGTGTGTGTGGGGGGGGGGGATTTAGGGCATTCCGGAAATGGTGGGGGCACCTATCAGCGCAAAAATTAGTCATAATTTTTTTGTATATACAAATGTGCCATAACTGTCACTCTGATAGATGAGGGAGCAGAAATTGGGGCACCGAGGACTCCCACACGAAACGTGACAAGGGGTTTCGTTAGGGGCCTCAGTGAGCCCTTCCCCAGAGAACATCTTTTTTTATATAAATTAAAAAGTCAGGGATGTATTTTGACGCATAGCTAAATTTAGTTTTGCATCATTTGCATCATTCTACACTTAATCGGCGAGCAACAGAAGTGATGCTAGTGGAAATTTAGGCTACATTGGCCTGGTTGTTGCTAGTTGTTTCTAAAAAGTAATTTTTATTTATAATTTTTGTTCAATTTTTTTTTTTTTACAATATAGATATTTCTGTTCAAAATAGTTGTTTCGACATAATTTTTTTTTAAATGACTGCTAACATCAATTGAATGCAAATGAAACAAAACTATAATGATAAAAATTACTATTCTGCATTGTTATTATTTCATATTCCAAAGTGTTACAGAGGTAAAAAAAAAAAAAAGAGCGGTTAGTGTTTTTTTAGAAAAGGTCTATGAATTTTTGTATAGCTATTTAAAATTTATCATTGTTATACATTGTATAGAAATTGCATAATTGTGTAAAGAGTATAGGATATATTTACAAAAAAAGCATCGTATATTTATAAATATTTATTTTTATATGAAAAAAATAAAGCAGTATAATTTTCCTCAAAATGAGTAACTGAAAGGTTTATCTGAAATCTCAAACTGTTATAACCAGAGCAGCCGCAACCTATGTGGCTATAGTGAGCTTCGCATATTTACGGGACCTAAAAATTGTGGTGTGGAATAAAAAACAACAACTTTGAATCCCAACCTTAGAGTTTGCAGGGGAGCCTCCAAAAGGCAAACAATGGCTCTGGAAGCTAAATTACGAATTAATTAGCATAATTTTTGTGTCACCTGTTGTAAAACTCAGATGTTCTGTAAAACGTCCCCCCACCCACATTTCAGACTAATTACGTTTCACCTAACTCTTGCCCCCTGATCCCCCCTTTATCACCACAACCCCCTATCCCATCTATAACCTCTCTCATCTCAATATACTTAGTCTATACTCTCGCCCTATACTCCTCTAACCACCGTTCCCTTTTTAATTCCCCAGCGTCTTCCAGTTGGTAACGTTTCTTCTGCATCGGTAGAAAATCTCAATTAATGAACTGGTAGTAAAC